TGGTATATGAAGATCATCACCAACTTTAAAATCTAGAATTTTCTAGTTAGTGCACCATTATTATAGTCACATGCAATTTTATATGCTAGAATATTCTTGGAGCCATTTGTAATACTATCTTATTACCAAAACTTAGGGGTGGGCGTGGGTCGGTTCGGTTCGGTTCTAAAGAGAACCGAACCGAACCGAAATTTTCGGGTATCTAGTAAATGGAACCGTCGGGTCCAAATATAATTATGGAACCGTTCGGGGGGTTAGGTTCCATTCGGTTTGTTTCGGTTCGGTTCGGTTCTGTACTATAATTAAATTTTTTAACATTTATAACAACATTACATAAATACAACTAATGATACATTCAATGGCTTTAGAATGTCAGAGACTAGTAAATTACCTTATTCAAATGATCGCTACGATCAAAGTTTCGGTTGGCGAATGTCACAGCTTCGATCGGAGGTCACAGTATTGACCAATAATTGTATAGGTTTTGGAATATTAGCGAGGCTACAGAGTGAGTGCGAGAGTCGAGGCAACGTTATGCACTTTAGTGTTGGTGTTTAGGGTTATTTAGTGTATTTGATATTGTTTGGCTAAGAAATGAAACAATAAAATGGGTAATTGGGCCAAAAATTAAAAAATTAGAAACGAAACAAATTATTGGGCCAAAAATTTGGATTTAGAAATCGTTAATTTTTTAATTTGTTTAGAAAAAATTGAAATTGAAATTAAAATAATTTGATTTACTCAATATAAAAAAAAATTAGAAAGATTCGGTTCTTATTCGGTTCTTCGGGTCTTGGTCTAGAACCGAGAACCGAACCGTACCCGTCGGTTCTCAATTCAGATACCCGTTCGGGTATTTAATTTGACAAGAACCGTCGGATTCGGTTCGGTTCGGGAGATTTGCCCAGCCCTACCAAAACTAGAGGTATCTAGAATTATCTTCACCACCATACTGGAACCATCCACAACCTTCCATTAACACTTATAAATACAAGGTGACTATGTATGCATGAGTGATGAGAGAAAAAGTGAGTGAAGAGAGTGAAAGCAAATAGAATAAGTGGAAAGAGAGACATAGTGTAGTGTGTTAGTGAGGAGTGTCTCCATATAATCAAAGTCTGTCCAAAAGAGTGTAAAATCTATTTCATAAATAAAATAATATTTTTCTTTTAAGTCTTAAATTCTACAGTATATGCAATCCACAAAGGAGAAAGATGAAGGAAGACACCAAAAATGCTCCAAGCTCTCTAACTCCAAAGAAAGCCATATGTCTCTCTCATTTCTTCTCTCTTGCACACACACACACAAAGACACGGCTAGGAACAAAACATATAGAGCAAGAATTTAGGTCACTCATTTGGATTGGGCCATAGTCTTTTCTACAAATGGGCTACCACTTAATTACAAATAAATGGACCACACAATCCAAAACCATCCAACCCAAACTTGGGCCATCCAAAAGCATAGGTCGTTTCTGAGTCTAGCCAAATCCATGGTGTCGATAATTATCCGACAACTGTTTTAAATCATCACCCGAATTTATTGGGTATCAAAAAATCCAAGACTGTTAATGATCATTAGAAATGAATTTTACCTCCGAACTTTACCATTGATCGAAATCTCTAGCCCGATGGAGTACCATAGTACCTATCAAGAAAAATGAGTCCACTTAGTTTAAGTCAGAATGACTTTAAAGCCTTAAAAGTAATTGTAACTGAACTGCAAACACACATATCAGAAAATCTTTTGTCTCATTTAGCTCTTATTCGTAAAATTCATTGCTAGCCATGAGGAGGTTGAGGAATACCGGGCTTTTCTATCACCCAACCTCAGCTTCCATCTTTAATAAGATTTGATTCATCATCACATGTTATTTCAGGTCGCCATTCAAAGAGCTGTTCCAAAATAGAAAGGCAGTACAACTATAGTTTCTCTTATGTGCTCATATTTCTGCTTTGTAGGGATGAACCTCCACTTTGAATAGTTGTCACACTGAACGGTATAAGCTCCTACTGAATCCAGCATTTTAAATGTCTTCAGAGAACTGCTAATATGGGAAGGAATGAAATCATTTGAAAGAAGAGAACATCATAATAGCACAAGAGGAATATTGATTGCAGCAAATCTCATTGGAATTTTTATTATATCTAAAGAGTCCTTTTCTTCAGTAAGTTCTGAATTTAAAACAACCACCATCAAGCAATCTCACAAATAAGAGATGAGTAAAAATACCATGCAATCTCACCTTGCATGAATAATAAAAGTTTCTATGAGTTTCTACATTATCTTAAATTCATTGACCTTACATGAAAAGCATTGAATAATTGAATTTTGGAAACCTAGGTTTCTGTTCACGATTTTATTTCTTTCTATTTAACACCCTCCGCAAGTGTACGGTTTATTAACAAGTAGTAGAATGGATTATGAGTCCAAGTATCGATCCCACAAGGATTGAATCAGTTCAAATCAATCTACTATGACCTTAACCGAAACACGAAAACAAGGTGTGTGTATTGTGATTTAACTAAGGAAGATGTGAACTATAATGCAATTATGAGTGAGAAACTTATACTAAATGCAAAATGACCTGGATGCAATCTACGAGAATTTATGGAATTAATGAAATACTAACGCACTAGGATCACGAATTCCCAAGCAACACCTGTTCAACTTTTAATTATGCAAATTTGACACACACTCCCACAATTGATGAATCAATATTCCTATTTTAATTTAGTAATCTCTCTCGAGCAATACCAAACCTACCCCAATATGTGATTCGACTATCTCTATGACGAATACTAACATACAAGAACGCATGTAATTTCATGAATATTCAACGATTCACACGAGGTATAGAGGTATATATCTATCTCCTATCGGACCCTATGATGATTTATACCATGTCAAGCCTATTTTCCTTCTCTCGAATGCATAAAACAGGCCACCAAAATCATATAATTACGTGTACAATTATAATATGGGAATAAAAATGTATAAATCATTCAATTTCGAAACATGTGCTTAAATATGTCAAATCTCCAAATCAAAAATCAAAACTTGTATTGCAAGGTTTATCGATCTCCTGGTACGTGAAAAATCTAGCCTAACATGCGAAAAAGAAAAAAATACAAAAATAGTTGAAGAAACGTCATCACCCGAATCAAGTTTCAATCAATTCTTCAATTGGCACGATGTTTTCCTCTTGTTCTCTTTTCGTTTTCTCCTTCAAAATCTCTCTTTTTCTTCTAAAATTGGCGTCCTTTTTGTTCTGGTCAAGTTTTCATTTATATAGGACCCCCAAAAATTTTATTTCCATAAGAGTTTCGGTGAAATAAGGAAACTGCAGAATCGGCCCCCGAATTGTTCTATGCGACCGCATAGTACATTTCTATGCGGTCGCAAAGAGTAAAAATTTTTGAGAATTTATTCTCGGGTGGCCTCTATGCGACCGCATAGAGGGGTCGCATAGTGCTACCAACTATGCAAAAAGTCCATTTTGGTCTTTGAACTTTCATTCTTTTTCATTTTAGTCCCTTTACAATTCCTTCTTCTTCTTCCAAGCATCTTGTATCGCTTTCGAGTTCATACTAAGCATATTTGCATTCCCGGGTTGCCTTTTGGTTCAACTTTGAATATTTACATCCTTATTCCCTGAACTATCACTTTGCTCCATTTTAGTTCTTTTTCGACTCTTTTCTCCTGAATTCCACCATTTCCATAGAAACACCTACATTGCATGAATTCAACGAGATTAAGTCACAATTTAAACATTTTGCTCGTAATTAAGTCATGTTTGTGATCTAAATAAGTGTGCAAAAACACACTTATCAAACCCCCCAAAGTTGAACTATTGTTTGTCTTCAAACAAGATAGTGATTTAATTCTGAACAAACATGGCTTAATACCCTGCCGTGGCTCAGGATTGGACTAAGTATTTGACTTATGAAAATTTATCAGTACAAAAATGACATCAACTTTTACCTATTAATTGCATGCTTGACGTGTGTGTGTAAATTCATGCCAACATATCAAATTCATGATGGGTTGAGTCTAGACCCCAAGTGGTCAAATGTATCGTTACTCGCTCGAGAGATACACAACCCTCAAAACTTATTCTTTTCACTCAATTATCCCAGGGCCGTGTTTTAAGATTAGGAATTTACATAGCTGTAGTCCTCACCCTCTCGTAGTTTGGATTGATCTCACGATCACAAATTTACATTTCAACAAGTGAAGGCTCTCCCAAGTTTGATTGTTTCGACACTCAAGATTAAAATAGGTTACTTGCCTCGCCTCAAAGGTATAGTTTCCTCAACCAAATGTCTAAGGGTTTTTCTTCATATTATTGTCTCACTTTTGTTTTCTCGCTTTCCATTTTTTTAATCATCATCTCATTTGCTTTCTATACAACCAATGTAATGAGCTTTAGGCCGGTGACTCCCAAACCAGTTGGCTTTAGGGTACCAAGTTTTAAACCCTTGCATGCTTATTCATTCGAGTTATAAAGGCTCGATCAGATGACTTTTTATTAACCTCTTTCCCTCTTGCTTTCTATATGACCCCTTTAGCAAGCTTTAGGCCGGTGACTCCCAAACCAGTTGGCTTTAGGGTACCAGGTTTTATACCCTTGTAGGCTTACTTGCTCGAATCATAAAGGCATGAAAAGAAGTGTCTTATTTTCACAAATTAATTTTACGCCCTTATTGTTCTAGACATTTAGTTTCCAAAATCAACCCCCAATTTAAGATTTTCGCCTAATCTTCACCTCACTGGTCTAGGCAATCCACACAATAAAATTTCATGCACGAAGCCCCCGCTTATTTCAATGCTCTCTATAATAGCTCAACCAATTTCAAACTGTCTTAAGGTGATTTACATGTTAATTCAATAGAGAGTTATTATTCTTTTTCTAGTTTATGCTCAAAATCCAGCCATTCACCTAACATGTCAAGCATGAACAGCGTGCATAGATAATGTCAAGTATTGCATCACAAGTATTGGTTAATCTATTCATCACTATATTCAAAGTTTATGAATTATACCAATCCAATAATCACATGATAGTCGGCAAGGCTATCAAGCCCAACAAGCATGCCAAAGTATAATTAACACTCACTCATCAAGCATGCATCATGCAACAATTAGTCAACAATAACGATGGACTGTGAAAATGAAAAATAATTACATGCCGACTATTTGTTTTAAATTATGCCATCATCCCCCAAACTTATACAGTACATTATCCTCAATGTAAGAATTAAAGTTGAAATGGCATAATTTAAAAAGAAAAACAAGAACACAAAATAGCAAAATGGGGTAATCAAGACTCCCCTGATCAATATAGTGGCTGTGATGGAAGGCTGGATCCTGCAGCATCATCTCCAGGAGGGGGAGGAAGGCGGGATAAAATCTCTCTCAATATGTCAGACTGCTGGGTCTACTCCACCTGCATGGCCTGAACCCTGGTCTCCAAGCTCCCTAAACGGTCCCATGTCTCATTCACTCGCCATTGTATACCATCCATCCTGCCAACGTACATTCACAATCGCCCATCAAAGGTATTATCTCTCTTCTCACTGCAAGGGACTCACTGCTGGCATTGGATGTGAAGTTTCTTGTGATTGCCATATCATTCTGTACCTGCTGGATGGTGGTACTCATTGCTCCAAATGATTGCTGGAGACTCTGCATGTCTCGACTGTGTCCTGTCATAGTGGCAAACATCTGCCTCAATAACTAGGTATCAATGTCAACTGATGGTGGAGGAGCTCGTGGCATCTCGAAGTTCTCAGCTGCGTGTCCTTCCTCAGCCTGTTGCTGTCGACGTCATTCGTTTTCTAACTTTTGTTGATGTTTAACTCTGGCTCGGTCCTGGGCCTCTAGTGTAAGGCGCTTGATATATAGACTTGGTTTTTCTGGTGTTTTCCTAGGTTGGACTTGTATGCCTGTAGCTTTACATATCCCACTTATCAAACTTGAGAAAATCAGCAAAGTATGCCTGTCTCCCCATGTGCCTATAATCTATATCTGGTTGTAGATATATGTGGCCAAGTCAATCTTGTTCCCCCGAACCAAATGATAGATAAACCTCGCCTTTTGATTTGTGAATATCGTCCTATGGGATATGGGCTCGATGTTGTGGCATATGAATAACCATAGGATAGCTATAGATGGGGTGAGATCAATCTGATACCAATCTGCAGTAGGTAGAGGCCATGCATTCTCACGTCCTAATAATACTTCTGCAACCTCAATCCAGTTGAAATTATGTGGGACTGGGATCACATTATTTCAGGTTAGCTGATAGTAGCCATGAATCACTTTGGGTGAAAACATAATCCATTTACCTCGAACCCATGTTTGATGTAGATGATCTGATCCAGGCGTGTCGATTTTTGTATTGAAGTTGGCATAGAACTCCTTCACCAGATTTTCATACACCGGATGCGGTCTTTCAATTACTTTCTCCCAACCATAGTTGTGGATTAAATAAACTAATTCAAAATCGGGAAAATCTTCCAACTTAACTGGCCTTTCGGGGACGAGTGCCCAATTGCGGACAACATTGGCGTAACGGGCTGCTGTGTCTGAAGATAGAAATCGCCTGACACCCCCTTCGGACTCTCTAGTCCGGGCTGTGCCAGATGCGGAACCAACCTTCTCTTTTCCTTTTGATGTTCTTTTTGGAGGCATCCTGCAAATGTGCAAAAATAACATTCATTAAACTTCTTGTTGAGAAACGAGAGATGGAATGAGATTAGCAAGACATATATTTCACAAATCCCCCAAACTTACGTCAACATGCATATATAACACATTGGTGTGCAATCTTCAAAACATGATATTCAAGATAGTGTAAATAGTCTGCCAATATGAAAAACTAAGAAAACTAGGCCTAAACATGCACATTTGAAAAATTGGACCCATGACCAAGTACGCATGTTCTGCCCCGGATATCATCAAAAAATATCGAAATTTTCCCGAGCAATCTTCGGGCATATGAAAGTATTTAATGAGGTCTACCATATACTCAAATTTCAAATCAATTGGACTTCGTTTCGTGTGTCAAATTATGGTGTAAAATAGGGGACGGAGGGTGCCGTGACTTGGCTATGTAGTGCCTACGTCATGCAAGATGGGATTTTATGTTTTTCACGGCCTTTCAAGTGATCTGTCTTTATCCAATCGTTATACACATCAATTGTACAACATAACCAAAGCCAAAATTTCAAAATTGCATAAAGCTCGATACTTAGGGATTTCATCAAATATGTAACATGCATTCCTTGTAAACCCTACAAAATACCAAAAATTTAATGTTCCACCAATCCATAACACAACCCAAGTGCAAAATACACAATCCATTGACTACCTATTGCCCATTCTCCGCAATCATGCTCATAAAATTCTCGGTTCATCTCGAATCGAACTAAAAAAATCATAGAAGAAAAGGAATGGGAGAATGTACCTTGAATTCGCAATGAACATGTGGAGTATTGATTTAGGGTGCCAATGGAATGAAGAATGAGTGTGAGTCATGTGTTTGTGTGTCTTACCGTGTGTGTTGGTGTGAAGGTGCGAGAGAGGGGCGAAAAGGAGGGAAATTGATTGAGAGTGACTCGATCATGGCTTAAATCCATGACCGAGTCACTACTATGTGGCCGCATAGTAGTATCCTATGCGGTCACATAGTGATAGAAATAGCCCAAATTTTTGTTTCGGTTGATGTCTATGCGACCGCGTAGACATTATGTCAATGCGATCACATAGACAATTTTTTTTTTTAAAATCTGAATTATGGGAAAAAAAACAATATCAAAATTACAATTTTAAACCCCAAAACACAACTTAATTAAAATTTTCCCCCGAAATTGGTTTTCAATTATAAATTTGACTCGGCTAATATTATTCTCGAAAAATTTAGAAACTTCCAATTCAATGGGATATGTGCTTGCCGAAAGACTTAGCACCAAGATCAATTTATGGAATAAACTTCAAACGCATTTTGAAAATTTTTATGAAGAATGACTTTGTGCATCGAAATGCATGATTTCACACTCAATCCCTCAAAACAACTTCAATCAACTTGACTCATGCCATCTTAAATGTGTAATGCTTAGACTAGTATGCGTGAAAGATCGATGACCTAACAAAAAAATGCAAATGCGAAAATTAAACGACTCCTAAAATAATGTGAAAAGTAAAATAAATCAAAGGATACAGTGGGTTGCCTCCCACGCAGCGCTAGGTTATAGTCGATAGTTCGACTTTATCGTATTGCGTCATTCTGGTGGTCTAAGATGAACGATAGACTTTTCCTATGAGAAATCGCCGCTCCAATAGTGCTTCAAACACTGTCCATTGACCTTAAATGTTTCCTTACTGTCATAAGTGATTTCAACTGCTCCATGCAGAAATAGTTGTGTAATAGTATAGGGGCCAAACCATCTCGATCGCAGCTTTCCTGGAAACAGCATAAGCTCAGAGTTGTAGAGTAACACTTTTTGCCCCACTTTAAATTCACGCCTCTGAATATGCATATCATGCCACTTCTTGGTGCGTTCTTTGTATAGTCTTGAATTTTCGTAGGCCTCCATTTTGAGCTCATCCAGCTCATTAAGTTGTAATAAACGTTTTTCACCCACAACCTTCAAGTCCAAATTCAATTTCTTCATTACCCAATAAGTATGGTGTTCTATCTCAAGAGGTAAGTGGCATGCCTTCCTAAAAACTAGTTGATATGGTGACATCCCCATAGGAGTCTTGAATGCAGTCCTATAGGCCCACAAGGCGTCTTCCAGCTTCTTTGACCAATCTTTTCGTGAAGAGCTTACTGTGACTTCAAGTGTTCGCTTTAATTGTTTATTGGACACTTCAACCTGTTCGCTGGTTTGAGGGTGATATGCAGTGGCTAGACGATGTTTAACGCCGTATTTAGTCAACAACCGTTCAAATTGGCGATTGCAGAAATGTTTGCCTCTGTCACTGATTATAGCTCTCGGTGTGCTAAAGCAGGTGAAAATATTTTTTTTTAGAAAATCTATCACCACCTTTCCATCGTTGGTATGCAATGCAACGGCTTCTAACCACTTCGATACGTAATCCATAGCCACCAATATATACTGATTAGAGAATGATGGGGAAAATGGCCCCATGAAGTCAATCTCCTAGACGTCAAATAGTTCCACATCTAGGATACTGTTCAAAGGCATTTCATTTCTCCTGGATATATTACCGGTGCGTTGACATCGGTCACACCTTTTTACGAATTCAAAGGCATCCTTAAACAATGTAGGCCAGTAAAAACCTGACTAAAGATCTTCGTCTCTATTTTTGAAGCACCAAAATGCCCTGTGTATGTAGATAAATGACAATGTTCTAGTATTAATGGCACTTCTTCCTCAAGTACGCAACGACGAACGATTTGATCAGATCCTCGCCTGTATAGAATGGGATCCTCCCAAAAATAATACTTCAACTCAGCGAAAAATTTCCTCTTCTGGTGATTTGAGTAATCTGGCGGAATGATAGACCTGGCTAAGTAGTTAACTATGTCAGCATACCAGGATGCTCCCCCACATCGAAAATCTGTTCATCTGGGAAGACTTCATTGATTTCCACGGTCTTTGTCTGCTCTGTAGTCTCAAGTTGAGACAAGTGGTCTGCTACCACGTTTTCACTGCCCTTCTTATCCCTAATTTCCAAACCAAACTCTTGAAGCAGCAGTATCCAACAAATGAGACGTGGCTTGGCATCCTCCTTTTCCATTAAGTACTTGATGGCTGCATGATCTATGTAAACGATGACCTTTGACCCCACAAGATATGATCGAAATTTGTAAAAGGCATAGACTATGACAAGGAGCTCTTTCTCTGTAGTGGCATAGTTTAATTGAGCATCGTTCAAAGTCTTACTTGCATAGTAGGTTTCGTGAAATATCTTATTTCTCCGTTGTCCCAATACGGCCCCAACAGTAAAATCACGGTGTGATGATCACGGGTGCTAAAATCAACTTCTCTTTCAAGGTATTAAAATCCATCAAACACTCATTTGTGAACTCAAATGTGGATTCCTTCATCAACAAACGGCACAGTAGTTTAGTAATTTTTGAGAAATCCTTTACGAACCTTCTGTAGAACCCGACATGTCCAAGGAAGCTACGAACACCTTTCACTGATGTTGGTGGCGATAATTTCTCGATCACCTAAATCTTTGCTCTGTCCACCTCAATACCCTTTGCTGATATTCTGTGTCCTAACACGATGCCTTCCTGTACCATAAAGTGACATTTCTCCCAATTTAATACCAAGTTGGTCTCTATACACCGCTGTAACATAAGACTCAGATGCTCCAAACACTCATCAAACGAAGACCCAAACACTGAGAAGTCATCCATGAGTACCTCGATGAATTTCTCAATCATATCAGAAAAGATAGCCATCATGCAACGTTGAAAGGTGGCGGGGGCGTTGCACAAACCAAAGGGCATCCTACGGTATGCAAAGGTACCGTAGTGGCATGTGAAAGTTGTCTTCTCCTAGTTGTCAGGTGCTACTGGAATTTGATTATACCCAGAGTACCCATCCAAAAAACAGTAATGTGAGTGCCCTACTAGTCTCTCCAACATCTGATCAATGAATGATAGTGGAAAATGATCCTTTCGAGTAGCAGCATTTAGTTTGCGGTAATCGATGCAAACTCTCCATCCAGTGACTATTCTTGTAGGAATCAACTCATTTTTCTCGTTCTGCACCACTGTGATATCTCCCTTCTTTGGAACAACTTGCACTGGACTGATCCATGTATTATCTGATATTGGGTAGATGATGCCTGCATCGAGCAACTTCAATACCTCAGCCCTAACCACTTCCTTCATGTTTGGATTCAATCTCCGCTGACCATTAATGCTTGGCTTGAAATTTTCTTCCATAAGTATTTTGTGCATGCATAGCGACGGTCTGATCCCTTTGATATCTGTAATTGACCATCCAATGGCTATTTTATTCTCCCTCAGCACCCGAAGTAGTCTCTCTTCCTCCACTTCACTGACAGTGTTTCAAATAATAACCAGGAGTGTATAAAACTCCCCTAAGTAAGCATATCGAAGGTGTGGTGGCAATTGTTTGAATTCCAACTTGGGAGGTTGCTAAATAGATGGCACTGACTTTGTAGTCCTAGTTCCTAGTTCTTCGAAGTGACGCTTGTACATGTATGGTGGATTAGTTTCCAAAAATCGTGCACATGTTTCAATCTCACTTGAATCAATTTGAGTGGATTGAGAATGTGCAATGCATGCCTCGTATGCATTGGAAGGATGATGTAGCCGAAATGTATTTTAAATTATTCTGTCAATTACCTCGGTCTGGAAGTAGTTGTCTGACTAGTGGGAAATTTCATTGCCCTGAACACGTTGAAAGAGATCTGTTCTTCGCCAAGCCTCAATATAAGCTGCCCTTTCTGAACATCGACAATCGCTCTTCTAGTAGCTAAGAAAGGTCGCCCCAATATGAGTGGAACATCCTTATCTTCCTCCATGTCTAAAATGAAAAAATCTACTAGGAATATAAACTTTTCTACTTTTACCAACACGTCTTCAATGATCCCTCTTGGATGTGTAAGGGATCGATCTGCTAACTGTAAGGTCACTGTTGTAGCCTTAGCTTCTACCAAGCCGAGTTTCCTAAAAATAGAGAGAGGCATCAAATTATTACTTGCACCTAAATCACACAAAGCTTTATCAAAATGACAATTTTCAATAGTGCAAGGTACAATAAAACTCCCTGGATCCTTTAGTTTTGGAGGTAGCTTTTTCTGGATTCTGGCACTACATTCCTCAATTGGCATCACTGTTTCATTTTCTTCTATCTTTCGCTTGTTAGAGAGGATATCCTTTAGAAATTTTGCATAACTCGGCATCTGAACAAGTGCCTCAGCAAATGGGATGTTGATGTGTAGTTTCTTGAAGACTTCAAGAAATTTGCTATATTGCTAATCCAATTTGTGCTTTTTCAACCTCTGTGGAAATGGAATATGTGGTTCATGAGGGTTGATAGAATTGGTAGCAATAACTCGTGATGTATTGGAACTCTTCTTGGCAACATTCTCTGTTGTTTGTTCCACAATCTCGTCATCTGAGGTAGGCGCTGATTCCTTGCTAGTTATCAGTCTTTTTACATGTATCTCCAA